TGCAATTGGGAAGGGGGACAAAATGAGGTGCGAAATAGGCGCGCCCGCCAGCGGGGGATGGGTGGCGGTGACCCGTAATCCGGGCTTGGCTCCGTTACGGGGGACTCGAGATTGTCTCTTAATCCCGGTTAATCCGGCCGCGAATCCTCAGCGTGACGAATTGCCGGAGAAATGCCTCCTCCCCCTTTTTGTCCTCCACCTCCCCGGGGAAAGAAGGCGCGGGAGAAATTCGTTCGACCCGGTCGTCGTGCGCACATCGCGTGCAGCCGGAAAGCGCTGTGTATACGAGTAGGAAGCAAGAAAGAGGCGGGAGTAGTGCAAAATAAATGAACGTGGAGCTGCAATAGAACTGCTTTTCTGTAGCGCTGAACGCTTGTCCATCTTCACCTGTTAACGCTGCGATGACCGCATTTTTGATGGAGGTGAAAATGTTCGAGGCCCGCTTTCTTAGCATTATAATAACTACAAAGGACACGGTTAAGAGAAGGCACAGTCATACGTCACACGTGCATAGCTCTCGTGACGTATAACGTGGTAAAGTACATACACTAGGGGGATCTGCGTGTAATAAACTGTTGTTGAAGGTTAGCCCTGTGTTGTCTTAAATGTGCCTTCTCTTAACCATGTCCTTTGTCTGCGCTACCATATATTACCATGCTACCATAACAACAAGACCAAATCGCCACCCTCATTGACCACTTGCTTAGATTTTGGTGCGCGTTAAAGAACCTCAGGTGGTCAAACTTTCCGGAGCCCTCCACTATAGCGCCTGTCATAATCTTATCGTGGCTTTCAGACGTTAAACATCAACAAATATGATTAGCTGTTAACGCTTCACTGGAGTATTGCAGCCATTAGGAGAATATGATCAAGGCCAAAGTTATTTTTGAAACTGCCATGGCACACACTATTACAGCTATAACTGTGGCTTAAGCGCAGAAGAAAATGGAAGTTCGAGAAGAATAAAAATTCCTAAGTGTTGGTTTTGCTGGAGCCGATTTTCGACAAGTGGATCAGGTTAGATAAATTTTCATCGGTTCCTCCAGGACACAGATCACGGTACCGCCGGCAGCTCATAACACGTGGAAGTAGCCGGGTGGCGCGTGGCAACCTCAGCGCCCGCACTGGACCATAATAAGGTTGTTTTTCTTTCGCATTCACTCACTCACTCACTCACACGTGAGGACCGAGAGACTGGGCTCCTCAGCCCGCCACGCGGGCTTGGTGAACTCGACAAGTGGCCTTGTCTTTTTTCAAGGCAACAACTGCCTGCCTTATCGCATCTACACTCTCCGCAAGCCACAAAGGTGGCACAAGCCTTCTCCTCCTATTCGTTTGTGATTGAGAATGAGTGTACGAAGCATGCACGCGCACGCAATAAGGTGAGCATTCGTTGCCTTGAAAAAGACAAGACTGCTCGTTAAACGGTAGATATAGTGCGAGAACAGAACGACACAAAGGGACAAGAAGGAGACGTCTTCGTTCTGTTCTCTCGCTATATCCACCGTCATGTCATACCAACTAGCCCAAACCGCCACACTTTTATGTTCGTTAAAGCTTTGGCTCCAGCGGCATCCCTGTCCAAGGATTTTTCACCTGCGTAGTTACGGGTATACCTGCTTCGTTAGCTCAATCGCCGCGGCTTGTTCCAGCGCAACGACCCGCCATGGCTGAATTTTCGGGTGGAGTGGTGTCGTGACGGTGCCATCGCATGCCCGATTTTTCTGGGTACATCTTAGTGCGGAGTTCGTCTCAACACACCGCTCACTTTTTATAGCGAATGATGATCAACTTGAGTTTATTGAACAGTAGGTGGCTCGTCGCACGCCATTTTTTTATCGTGATTAATATAAAACAGCGCTTACGACACGGGACAGATTGGCACACACGGCGCTGAGCTTGCAAGGTCAGCGTCATGTAAGTTCTTTATCTGACCCGTGTCATAAGAGCTGCATATATTCATCGTAAAAACTCGCCAAATCTGCCTATCTCCTTCAATTCATTTCTATCATTATGAACTCTTCCTCTTTCTACTGTTCTCCCTATTTGTACCCTAGGTTTAGTAGAAGACTAGTAGGGACGTGCTTTTGTGCCTGGGGTCTGTTTTACGTTTGAACAAATACTCATGATCATCATCATCATCGTCATCATCACGTGCAGCATGCGAGCGAGCGATTCTCACGGCACACGTACGTTCAACATTTCTGTTGCAACAGCACTGCGCACGCAAGGTGGCTTTTGTGCAGTGACTTGGAGTATCACCAGACGGTGCTTCGCGAACTGTGGTGGAGCGGAATGATGGAACAAGGGTTGAGCAATTCTCTAGCTCTTTTTGCGAGATTTACACAGCAACTAGGATGAGCAGCAACCAGCAAGCCAACCAACCTCGGCAATCGCGAAGAGCTAGCGGTCAGGATGACGCAATCTGTAAACGTTACTAGTACGTTTCCTTTGGTCAGTACGACATCTCGTGATACAAGAGAGGCCTCTCATTTGTCACGCTACAACGCCAATGTATCACAATGGTGACACAACCACACCGTAAGCACAGAGTGCGTACTCGCTTTGATTGCGAATAGTTGCGACACGTGCAGTATCCTATTTCGTGTGCATACACTGCAAGCAAAGAGCGGCGGCTCGCTTTCCGCAATAGAGTTACGAACTCCGGTCCACGTGTAAACGTGGCCAGCATTACGCTACGCTATCACGAAACGTTACTCTACTAAGGGTGCTACGCAAGGAACCAAGGAAAAAACGAGCGCAACCAGGAGAACGTTCTCTCTTCGATGGCGATGATGAAAACACGAATGACAAGCACTAGATAAACGCGTACAGATGCTTTTAGAAAATCTGTAGTCGTTTTACAGCTCGAAAACGAAAGATAAATATGGCGTAATGCTACTGTTCCGCATGGACGGAGCTTATAACCTAACTAACCACTGGTGAGAGCGCTGGAACACCAGGGACGTCATCATGTAGTATTAAACTTTCGAAAGCATTGGTTTGGCTTTCAAGTTATTTGCCTTTTTTAATGAAGGACCGACCGACTTCAGTGCATTAGATTTGGGCGTCGTAGGTTTTTTAACAATGTATACAGCTGGAAACTCTTGCGCTGGTGCTTAAGGAAACATGACGATCAATACAGCATGGGAATCGTGAGTTGTCCGTAAATTAGTTCAAATTCAGATTCTTTGTTACTTACCATTTTATAGTTTACTACAAAACGCTGCTTTATAATTGCAACAAGTTGCGATATTTAAGCGCGTATACGCAATCTTATTGTCTTTTTGCGTCTAGACAAGATGAATTGTTTTAAACTTTAAGGCAATAACTGACAATACATCCTTGTAAACAAAAACCGAAATAACCTGTTAGGCCACAAGCATGAACAAACAAATCCATGTGCCAACTATCGATCCCATGTTATCGGAACGATCACAGCACCAGAGTTACCTCGGATAGATTCAGTATGGCATAATATGATCGATATATCTCGAGACAACTTGGAGTCTCTCTTTTGTAATTTTAAAATTTCACGCGGCCCACTGTGGTAAAAATCGGCGACGAAACATCGTTTTTTTTTTCAGGAGATGGGGCCCTTACTGTTACGCTGTACTATCAGACGTTCTTCAAAAAAGTGGGCGCACATGGTTCTAGAATAATTGAATGGGTGGTATTTACCAGTTTGGGCTGAGTTCTCGTATACTTTCTGTGCCGAATTGAAGAGCTTGCGTTGATACACGTCAGCGTGACTTGGTTGGCAACGACAATGCTCAGATTTGGGTGCACCTTAAAGAACCCCAGGTGGTCGAAATTTCGGGAGCCCTCCACTACGGCGTGTCTCATAATCATATGGTGGTTTTGGGACGTTAAACTTCACAAATAAATTAGTGGTTGGCAACGACAGTTCTGGAAATGTGGACGACAGCGTTTGTCATGGCCGCTTCGTAACAATATTTTCATACCAGAACTCAGCAAGAGATGACTTTAAACTTAAAGCGAGTGGAGACACCATCGTAACGCTGCTGTTGCGACTGGAGTTGAACCTCCAACATATGTAAAAAAGCACTCTGCTGCAGATAAGTGTGTTCAATTGTTATGTTGAAACACGTGGGCACATTGAAAGTACCAGTTCTAGATGTAGGACAAAAACGACAGTACACTATTCAGAATGACAAAAGAATTGGCTTATTTGGTTGCGTCACTTGAAGCACTACTGTAGCGTTCGGCGGACGTTTATTTTTTCTGACAACACGGTGGGCAAAATGAAACGAGATGCAGTCACAGACCACACTACAGACGCAAATATCATGTTTCATAAACCTGACTGGTTCCTGACAACCTTACTAAGACAGGAGAAAATACGCCATTGGTCTCTTTGCGCCCATCGTGGTGAATCTTCACATATGCGTAAGTCAAACGGCTTCATGCCTCACGTGAACAAGGAATCGGAGAGGTTTTTAAAACGCCGTGTTTGTATAGTTGACTTTGCCCACGATTGCGTTTCGCTGGATTCTGTATGATTGGTGAAAATAGCGTGACAACGCACATGCACATGTGTTCCTTTCTCCGTCCCCCCCCGCCCCCCTTTTTTGTTGTTGCTGTGTGTTCTTCTTTGCCTTGCAGTTTGTAAAAAAGGCAAAAGCTGGAATGTTCGACAAAAAAAAAAGTATTTGTGCACCGCTACCATGCTGGTTTTCGTACCCTCTTCAAGCCACTGCAGTGGTAAAACATAATTGTATGCTTCATGCTAAGCGTGAAAACTTAGAGCTAAGTAATGCACTCACTTCCGATCGCAGCGTCAGCATTTCGTGCCATATCGCCGCAATTTCCACACTTACACCTACACTGGAGCCAGCCTTACATTTAGCGGCCGTATTTGCGGTGACATGACATGGCGATTATCAGATGCAGTTACTAATAGTAGTTCTTACTCTAAAAATTGTGACGTTGGGTTTCAATACGTCAGCGTTGACTTAAAGTGGAAAGGGCATTCTCACCATTGTGTCCGAGTTGTTGGCAGTCATTTTGACGATGGCGACACCCATGTTGCAGCGGATGCCGAAAGAGATGAGGAACCCTATGGAACTGAGCAGGGCCACAGTGAGTCGCTTTGAGATGTCGCAGCAGGGACAGTTGGGCTCCAGCAGGCGGCGCCAGCTTTTACCGACTTCGGCGCCCGGCTCTGCGCCGGGCATGCCACCTGCGCTCTCGTAGTACTCTTCCTGGAGCTCGTCATGTTTCATGAAGCCCTTCTCGTCTTCCTGCTTTTTCAGTCGCCTGCGCAGAAGAGATGCGAACGGACGCTCACCATTTTGCGTGGGCCCTCACGTGCCATGATTTTCGCCTTCTTTGACCATGTTTCAATCAATCAATCAATCAATCAATCAATCAATCAATCAATCAATCAATCAATCAATCAATCAATCAATCTTTATAAACCAAGTGTCTCATAACAATATCAATCTAATCCATGAATTTAATTAATCGATCCAATCAATCAATCAGTCAATCGATCAATTAGTCAATTTATATGAATGCATTTATATCAACCCAACCCATCAATCTAATCAATCAATCTAACCCATCAATCCAATCAATCCAATCAATCAATCAATCAATCAATCAACAATCAATGAGTCATAAGAATGAGGAGAAAAGGAGAAAAGATTAGAAGGGAGCGTTAGCGGACAATCGTGCAAAATATTTCGAAAGTGATGTATTTCTCGTGTTCTCTCATTACTCCTTTTCATCATTCAACTACTCCACTGCGTAGGGTACAAAAATGGGAGGGTGTCGGGTTTATTTTCCTGCTTTTTCGTTTTTCTATGTCAATTTGACTCTCCGAAAACGATTGATAAAAATAAATTCAAACGAAAGGCTATTGTGTCGAATCGGCGTTCATCGCGTGGTGGACAAACGGCATTTCTAGCTTCCGAGCGTGCTGATAGTTGGAAGGAGAGCAAGAAGGAGAGCGGGTGGGGAGAGTCACTTGCAAAGTAGGTATCGACGAGAGCTACAGATGCTTTAAAGATTTCGGTAACTTCGAAGGGCTTGCTTACAAGAAGGCCAACGTGCAGACAGGGCCCAAAGGGAGCGTGATGGCGATGTCGTAACGGGCGGTGAGCGACGATTCGCATTATAAGTGGGAGGAAAAGGAAACGAAAAAATATAATAAAGAGAAACATAACGCATGGCAATTACGACAGGGAAAAAATACACAACGCCCAAGAATACTAAAAGTCTAGGTCCCGGACATAGCCTAAAATATGAAGAAACACATTGCCTGAAAACTAGCGTGACAATCGCGGCCAGAATGTCGATAGTCGGGCCGGTTGGCATATGATTGAAGGTGACACACCAGCAGAGAAACAATGAAAGCAGAAAAAGAAGGCGACAGTTGTGGTTTGTTTTTAGTGCAACATTGTCCTGTCGCACTCATTTTTTGTGTCCGTTGTTTCCTTTCTGCTACTCCACTATCGATCGCGGCCAAGGGCCGCCGCAGCAGGCAAGAAGATCAGCGAATGTCGGTTGATCTTTCATGTACTGAGGGCAGTCAGGCAGCGCCTGCTTTTCCTAAAATTGCGCGTACAATCTGGCTTGCAGCCCCAATGTTTATTGCGTGGTCCTAAAGCACTTACATGCGAAATTTGGAAACGAAAAGTTCACTTTGGTTTCTGGAATAGACCCTCAAAGCAACGTATTTTTGCCGCGAGCGCCTCATTACCTGTGTCGTCGTACATGCATGAAGAGTCTAACCTTTACTCGAATTCTTTGAAAGCGTTGCCTTCAATGCTGTTGCATATTACTAACTTTTCACTGTAGTCTCGAGCTGACTGTTTATCCATCTTTCATACTTCGCTTCTTTTCTATCGCTTTCCATCCTATTCCCCCTTTCTCCCACCCCAAGTGTATGGTAGCCAACCGAGCCAGGCTTAGTTAACCTCCCTGCCTTTCCTCTTTATCTCTCTTACTTTTTCATGATTAACCCAACTAGCACTCGTTGCAACTACACGAAGACGTTGCTCGAGATAGATGCTAGAATTAAAAAAAAGATCTATTCAAACTGCATCAGTAATTCTTGGCACACCTTCCTTAAGATTTGAAAAAGTCCGAATAAGGAACGAAAGAAAAGTGAGAAATTTCTACTTTTCGCGCAGTTATTCCTAATAAAGTATTTATACAAATTATAGACGACCTACCCCTGATCTTACCTAATAGATTCAATACAGATGATACATTAAAAGACAATGAAAGGCAAATGAAAGGCAGGGAGGTTAACCAGGTTGTAACCGGTTTGCTAACCTACGCAAAGGATGAGATTATTAGCTTTCCATCAGTGACTATATTGTGCATACGGTGGTCTTGGTTCTCACGTTCTGCTGTACTGAATACTTGATTTAGTGGAGCATATTTTCTCAACACTAAGAGCCGAGTACCTGTTCTGCAGCGACACTCTGAATTCCTGTACTTTCCCTCTCAGTGCTAGCTGATTTATTGGCTACTTGCGTATCAGTTTCTGTCGTTCCTTCTTCAATTCTAGGCGAATTCGAGACCGTACCATTCTATGGTCACTGCATCGTACCTTGCCAATCACTTCCACATCCTGCACGATTCCAGGGTGTGCACTCATTATAAAGTCTATTTAGTTCTTATTTTCGCCATTAGGGCTCCTCCATGTCCACTTGCGGTTTTCTCGTTTTCGGTAGAAGGTATTCAAAATCCGTAAATTATTGCGTTCTGCGAATTCTACTAGTAGCTCTCCTCTGGCGTTTCTAGTACCGATGCCATAATCTCCTACTGCCTGGTCTCCAGCCTGCTTCTTCCCTACCTTTGCATTAAAGTCGCCCATCACTATAGTATACTGTGTTTTTACCTTACTCATTGCCGATTCCACGTCTTCATAGAAGCTTTCAACTGAAGCGTCATCATGGCTGGATGTAGGCGCGTAAGCCTGTACTACCTTCATCTTGTATCTTTTATTCAGTTTAATTACGATACCTACCACCCTTTCATTAATGCTATAGTATTCCTCTATGTTGCCAGCTATGTTTCTGTGAATTAGGAACCCCACTCCCAGTTCTCTTCTGTCTGCCAAGCCCCTGTAGCAAAGGACGTGCCCATTCTGTAGCACCGTATAGGCCTCATCTGTCCTCCTAACCTCACTAAGCCCTATTATATCCCATTCAACACTCTCTAGCTCCTCGAATAGTACAGCTAGACTTCCCTCACTAGATAAGGTTCTAGCGTTAAACGTTGCCAAGTTCAGGTTCCAATGGCGGCCTGTCCGGATCCAGAGATTCTTAGCGCCCTCTGCTGCGTTGCAGATCTGACCGCCGCCGTGGTCAGTTGCTTCGCAGCTGCTGGGGACTGAGGGCCGTGAGTTATTTGACGTAAGCATGTGGGAGGTAGTGGCCAGATACTGCACCAGGGTAGCCAATCCTTCTCTGGTGAGGGAGTGCGTTCTCGGCGGTGTTTGCCGGTGAGGCCGCACCCCAGGCCTCTTAAGGCAGTTCCATCAACACGCGGATTTTTTTTTTAATCCGGTTGGAAACTGCGTGGTGCCGGGATTTGAACCACGGACCTCTTGCATGCGAGGCGGATGCTCTAACCACTACGCCATCGCCGCGTAGATACCTACGCGGCGATGGTAGATACCTACCATCGGTAGGTAGATACCTACGGTAGGTAGATACCTACCTTAGCGTAGATACAATGAATGATAATCTGACGAATATCATTACGGAGTGTGCAGTGGAAGTTGGAGGCAGGGTAGTAGGACAGGACACTGGCAAGCTTTCCCAGGAAACGAAGAACCTAATTAAGAAGCGTCAAATCATGAAAGTGTCAAGTACAACAGACAAAATAGAACTGGCAGAGCTTTCGAAGTTGATTAGTAGACGTAAGGTATGCGATGTAAGAAGGTATAACATGGAGAGAATTGAACACGCTCTGAAAAACGGAGGAAGTGTCAAAGCATTGAAGAGGAAACTTGGGATAGGCAAAAGTCGGATGTATGCACTAAGGGACAAAGAAGGCAAAATAACTACCAATATGGATAGGATAGTTAAAATAGCGGAGGAGTTTTACAGAGATCTCTACAGTAGTCGAGACAACCACGACCTTAATACTATAAGAACTAGCAGTAACCCCACCAGTAATGATAGAAGAAGTCAGAAAAGCTTTGGAGAGCATGCAAAGAGGCAAAGCTGCTGGTGAGGATCAGGTAACATCAGATCTGCTGAAAGATGGAGGACACAGATTGCGTTAGAAAAACTAGCCACCCTGTTTACGAGGTGTCTCCTGACGGGAAGAGTACCAGAGTCTTGGAAGAACGCTAACACCATCTTAATACATAAGAAAGGAGATGACAAGGACTTGAAGAATTACAGGCCGATCAGCTTGCTCTCTGTAGTATACAAGCTATTTACAAAAGTAATTGCTAACAGAGTAAAGAAAACATTAGAATTCAATCAACCAAAGGAACAAGCAGGATTTCGAACAGGCTACTCAACAATTGACCACATTCATACTACCAATCAGGTAATAGAGAAATGCTCAGAGTATAACCAACCACTATACATAGCCTTCATAGATTACGAGAAGGCGTTTGATTCAGTAGAAATATCAGCCGTCATGCAAACACTGCGGAATCAGGGCGGCGTAGATGAAGTATGTATAAACATTCTGGAAGAAATCTACAGGGGATCAACTGCTACCATAGTGCTTCATAAAGAAAGCAACAGAATACCAATCAAGAAGGGTGTAAAGCAGGGGGACACAATTTCCCCAATGCTATTTACCGCGTGCTTACAGGAGGTTTTCAGAAGCCTAGAATGGGAACAGTTAGGGATAAGAGTCAATGGAGAATACCTTAGTAACCTGCGCTTCGCCGATGACATTGCATTGCTGAGTAACTCAGGGGACGAATTGCAACTCATGGTTACGGAGTTAGACAAGGAAAGCAGAAAGGTGGGTTTTAAAATTAATCTGCAGAAAACAAAAGTAATGTACAACAACCTCGGCAAGGAGCAGCGCTTCGAGATAGGTAATAGTGCACTTGAAGTTGTAAAAGACTATGTCTACTTAGGGCAGGTAATAACCGCAGAGCCGAACCACGAGATTGAAGTAACTAGAAGAATAAGATTGGGGTGGAGCACATTCGGCAAGCACTCTCAAATTATGACAGGTAGATTGCCACTATCCCTCAAGAGGAAGGTGTATAACTGCTGTATCTTGCCGGTACTTAGCTACGGAGCAGAAACCTGGAGACCTACAAA